GATAAATAAGTTAAAATGATAACAAGAGACTATTTCATACATATTGGCCAAAAGGGGGGAGGGAGGTGGCACCAGGGTACAGTCATTGAAGAGAGACACTCTACAATACCCAGTAAGGCTGAAAAGCATATATCCTACAATGAGCCATGAATCTATTCTTATTACTTGTACTAGAGGGAAATCTTGAGTACTTATGCAAAAAGATGAGTATAAACATTTTCACCCTGAATGTTTGCAACAGCAAAATAATAAGCTCACTGAGAATGAACATAATTTGTGGAATATTCATGCTTGAAATACTATACAGAAATGGCATAAGGCTGTATCAACACAGATAAAGCTCATGCCATCATGAATTAGCAAGAGCAAGTTACAAAATTGTACATACAATATAAAACCATGACTAGAAGTATATAAAGTATAAAAGAAGTCCAAAAAATTTTCAGTGGAAATGAGCTTTATCGATATCTATGAATATTACAAAGGTATTTATGTTTTGATCTAGCAATTCTTTATTTCTAGGAATTTATCCTACAGATATAGTCACAACTGTGCTGATCACTTATGTCTGAGCAGCTCCTGCAATGTGTTACGTCATGTTGTAACATTTCTAAATGTTCCTCAATAGGATGTCAACGAAAATGTCATTCAGTCACACCATACATATACAGTGCTATTTGCACATAACAAGAAAACAGAGTGCTCTTTATGCCCTAAAAGGAAATGACCTCTTAGAAAAGCAAGAGCAGCGGTGGAACCATGTGCACGGTGATGCCACCACTCATGTAAAAGGAGGAAGGGGCAAATCCACAAAGATGACTGCTCATGCGCACCTAAAGCCTCTCTGGGGTGTTGCATCTCTAGAAGGTACATTGATAAAGAAAGAAAGAAAAATCTAGCAACTTTCCTTAAGTGCCTGGGACACAGGACAGGTAGAGAATTTTCAAGTCTGTACCCTTTCAAATCTTTCTGAATTCCAAATCATGCTAATGTACCACTTAGTCAAAATCACATGAAAGACATTTTTCTACTTCTTTTGTGTAGTAAAAGCATAAGACAAACTAAATCGCACCCCAACATTTTCTACACGGACAATGCAGTGACAACGCAAACCCACCCTTGGAACTGTGCAGCCATTCTCATTATCCCCATTCTAAGCCATCCGTCGCCACCCACTGAAGCTCCGTGCTCCCTCCCGGAGCACAAGTGCCCTCTCTCCTCCTCCCTCGCACCCTCACTGCCTATCAGCCCATTTCATGCTATATATCAGCTACTTCACATAAGTGAGGGCACACAGCATTCATCCTTCTGCAACAATGGGGGTGGGGGCGTGGATAACAAACTGGGTTGCTCACTGCACGCTCAGTCCCTTGACCCGACCAACTGATCCATGGGAGAAGATGACGTTTCCTACGCCTGTGCAGACTCAGTACTTCCGAAACCTACTGGGGCGATTCAACACTGGCCTATAGGCTTGCTACGAGGCAGAATCGACTGAATAGCAGCGAGAATGAGTTAATTCACTCAGCAAGGTGTTTTCAAGGTATGCTATATTTACAAACATATAATTTTAAAAATATAAACACCTTCATAAGAATGATAAATAACAATAGGAAGGGGATGGTCGTCTCAGCAAGGGATCAGTCCATAGAAGTTTCCACTATATTTGAATGTTTTATCTAAGCCAAATGTCAAAACTTGTGAGTGAGTTATTTTCCCATTCATGGCATCACTATTTTTATCCAACACCCAAACAACAAAGATGCACCAACGAAAGCGAGTCAGGAAAACAGAAAACACTGTAGCAACTTCATTAAATCCAATTATTTCAAAGTATAGCTAAAAACTATTTTGAATCTCTGTAATGGCTTTTCAAATTACTTCTATAGCTAACGCCAGAATCTCCCTATCAGTATAAGGCAACTTTTATAATGAAAGAAATGGAAACTAGAAATTTAAATGATTAGTCTTTGGTTCTAATTCCCTAGCTATAAATTTGGGGACAAAGCACACATACCCCACCCCCAACACACACACACACACACACACACACACACACACACACACACACACACACACCCCGTGTGAGGGGAAGGGGGCTTCAAAAAGTTGGTGGAAAAAAATCCATTATCTTTCAAGTCCATTTTCCCACCAAATTTTTGAAGCCATGCCGGTACACATGTCTATCCATTCTAATTCATGCAAATAATCGGTAACCAAGCTATGCCTGAGCTTTTGATGTTCCAGATCTGCCAAGGTGGGCCAAGTCACTGATCGCCTCTCTCAGGCCAGCCCCCTAGGTCCCATCCATTTAACAGCACTAACATCATTTTACAGACATGCAATGACGAGAAGATTAGAAACTACTGCTTTGGGGACATCTCAAGCATTAATATAGTTATGGAATTATAAAGGAAAGCTTTAATAATTTTAAGTGAGCTATAATTATCTTAGCTTAAAACTGATAAAAAAATGTATTCTAAATTTAACCAAACAGTACTGCCCTCCCTGTAAAGAATGCTACTACTCCTCAAAATTAAACAGGTCGTGAGCCCCATCACCGGGTGCTCTTCACCAGCGTGCCAGCTACAACTGAGGTGCAACCCCGCTAGCTGCTCTCAGCTATCGCTGTTTCCCAGAGACCCAGCGAGAAGAGGATGGAAAGAGTAACTCAGTAGAGTTCAGGAGGTTAAGAATATCAACAGCCACCTGGGATGTGAAAACAACATTTGAGTTATGCATGCCATGGTTATTCATATATTCATTAAGTATGTTTAGAGCATCTAAAGTCTAAGAGCCCCCAAAATGAGGTGACCAGACGTCTCACTTTTGGCAGGACAGTCCCGAGTTTTAACAATTTTTCCTGCGTCCCGCAGCATTTTTAAGAAGTCCCAATTTTTGGAAAGAATGCACGACAAGCTAGGGTATACGGTTTTTGGCTGCCATGTGGCTATTTCGCCAGCATATACGTTTCATCAATGGTGTCCTGCTTTACCAATGTTAAAATCTGGTCACCTTACCCAAAGCGCAAGTATCCTTTTTTCTGGGTAGGAGAGGAGCCAGATGAAATTACCCACAGAGATTTTAAATGTATCTCACCTGGTTTTTATTTGGATTCTCCATGAAGACACACTGCTTCATTATGTAGGAGACAACAGCATTCCCTCCTAATGCAGCGACATGAGCTCTCACCATTGCAAACACTTCGGCAATGAAGGCATGGAGAAAGCCACTGACACCTCCTTCCTAAGTAAGGACAAGCCACAAGAAAATGACACCACCTATGTGCATATGCAGACATCATACAGGACACATCATAACACCCTAGATTATCCAAGAAATTATAAACTGGTGAAACAATGGAGGGAAAAAAAGCACAGCTAACTCACCTCTATAAAGAACATACTGCTAGAATAAAACCTGAAGAACTTAGTAGGTTTCACAACCGCAGTCATTTAAAAAGGCGCCTATTCACATAGTAACTTGCTCACCAGCTCCAGTTCATAAACTATGACAAAAGATGGATGTAATTTTCTTGAATTCAAATTCCTATCTTGTGAAAGATGTGAAAGGCTGACTCTGATTCAAAACTCTGATCATGTCATGTAAAATATCATCATTATTATTATTATAAATATTATTATTAAAAACAAGGTGTGAGGCTCCCCAGTGTGAAATGAAGGAGCATGGGGAGTCATGCACTGGGCTGCCAGCTGCAAGGTCAGTAGCTTGAACTCACTTTCCGATCCAAGCAGAAGGAAGGCTCTCTCTGCAGCCGTAAGGAATGGCAGACAGTCGTAGAAACGCTCACGGGGTCGCTCTGCTGCCCTTAGAGAGTTGCTGTGAGTCAAAACCAAAACCAATCCGATGGTAGTGAGTTTGGAGGTTTTTGGTTTGTTGGCTTGAGTGTGTGATGAGAATTTGAAGGAACAATATCCCTATGTACTGTTGAAAAGTGTGTAGGAGAAAAGGGGGCAGCCTCATTCTTTTTCATAAGAAAGAAACAAGAAAGCAAGATGACATTTAAAAAAAGTTATCAGACAAAAATTTAGAGGTCTACTAGACCTATAAAAAAGCTACTTGAACCTTTTTTGTTTTGTTTTGTGACTAATAATTGTGAGGATGGCACAGGACTGGGCAGTGTTTCACTCTGGTTAGCTTAGGGTTGAGATGAGTCAGAACCTACCCACTGGCACCTAATAACAACTATACCAAACTGTAATCCCTGAAACTTGTGACTGGAAGTAGAACTCAGGCAACTAACTACTGAAAAACTAAGCTGTTTCACAGGGCTCTTTTAAATCTCTACTCAAACTTGCATGCATTTATTTACCGTACGGTAAGGATTTGGAATTTCAAGCAATAAGTGGATTTCAGCCTTCCACAACTTGTGATGATACTTTCTGTGCTAACTTAAAATATAAAATTTGGTAAGTCTATCTTAGAATCAATCTGGGTAGAGCGCTGCCATACACAAACATGTATTTTGGGATCCCTACTGGTGCACTCAGGTGAGAACTGAAAGGCTGGCAGCGTGGACCCACCAGCAGCTCTGTGTTCTGTGTGACTTGCTCCCCTAAAGATTCCAACCTAGAAAACCCCATAGACAGTCCTATACTGTCCTGTAAGTTGGAATGGACTCAGCGGCACACCACACACCATGCTATTTCTGGTAAGGAAAAAAAAAAAGCTATTTGAAACTGTAGAGGGTTTTTGTTACTGATATCTTGAAGTCAGAGAAAACTCATACAGACAAACATTTCAAAAAGTTCTAAACATACCTCACGAAGAGAAGTGGTTTCTCGAATAAAAAACATGTTAATTATTCCAAGGTATTTAGTTATTTTTGCTCCAGGAATGAAAGAAAGCGGCGTCATCTTAACAACTCCCACTGTAGAATTGGCACAAGATGGACCTGCTCGATTCCGGAAATTTCCTTCCCCCATTGGGCTTGCCTTTTCCACTGTCACAGCTAAAAGGGGGAAGAGAAGAGAAAGCGTCAAGTCAGAGGCAGCTAACTTGCTTATTCCCCAGGGTTCCAAACAAGTTGTGACCACATTCAGCTGTCTGTGAGGCTAAGCCATGTCATGAAAGAAAAGACATGATCATGCACTGCATGCAACTTAAAGAGAGAAAGAAAGAAAACACAGAGGCAATGCTGGAATGGAATTCTTTTGGAAGAAAAATGGCATTCCTGCAAAAGAAAATGGTGATGCAGTGTAGCTACACACACAATGATTGGTTATCAAGTGAAGAAAAAGAAAAGGCGGCAGAGCATTAAAAATTATCTGCTGTAAGAACAAATTATTCCAAGGAGAGTGTGAAAGTTGTCTTATTGCCCAGTGCAGTTTTTGCACCTTTTTCAGACAACTTCATCATTGTATTATATTAACTAGTTGTAACAGATTTCGTCCTCCAAACCTTTTCAATTAAAGGAACTCATAGTTCTACAAACTTAACAAATGATCTTGGGTGAGAAATATTGATAAAATAAGAATATCCACCATTTATTAAATAACTACTATAAGCTATTTGCTAAGGAATTACTAGGTTTGATATATATATATACACACACATGTATATATCATTCTATGACAACCCAGGAACCTAGGTATTATGAACCCCATTTTACACATGAGGAAACTGAGGTTCAGAGAAGTTAAATAACTTGCCCAAGGTCAACAACTATCAAAATGGCATTTCTGGGACTCAAATCTCTATCTGGCTGGTTCCATATCCTGTGTTCTTTCCTATAAAAAGCATAAAAAAGCTATAAAAAGCATACCCTCTCCTTTTAATGTACTGAAAAGTATTTCGCTCCAGTACGTTTACCTAAAAGTCTATCAAAGTCCAGGGAATAAACGTAAAGAATGAACACGTCTGATTCAAGAAGTCAGAGAAGAGTTACCTCCTCTCTCTAGAAATGCCTCATTCTTTTAGCCCTCTAAATATCACACTTAGGAGTCTGGTACATGTCATATGTGAAACAGCACCTTGGACCTTGGTAAAATACCTCTTCAAAAGGCGAGCTGTCCTTCCATCTAGAAGGATCTAACATCTATTGTGTACTTTTAAGGAAATGTTCACCAAAAGAAAAATTCCAAGACACGATATAGTTAAAATCAGTAAATCTACAAGTCCTTTCAAGTCCTTTGCTAAATAACCATTAAGCATCTGCAGCTTTCACACTCCAATATATGATTGATTGGTAATGTTATTACTGGTAGCCAGGTCTAGCCTTCACCATTGGGAAATCAGGGATATGCTTTTCAGATCATCATCATAATGTGGTAGAAACATCCGCCTACTTGTCTTAATTGATCCGCGCCTTATGGTCTGAGCTTTCAGTTTAATGAGCTCTATCCAGCTGCTGCATCTGTCTGCAAAGGAACTGTAATCAACTGACGTTGCTGAAAACACAGACAGAAAACAAAAGAAAAAACAAAGAAAAAATATGGATGACGTCTCTTGCTCGTCATTAACACTCCTTCCGATGATGTACTTTAACTGTAACTTAGAAGAAAGAATGGTCCTTTTTCAAGTAAGATAAGAAAATTGGCACAGAGTCAAGCTTTAGACACTGATTTGTCCGAAACCAAGTTCTCAGTTCACTGGCTGAGCTTTTGTGATGTCATAGATGATGGTGTGTGTGTGTGTGTGTGTGTGTGTGTGTGGGAGAGCACAACTGGGGTCTAATGTAAGTATCAATTAAAGCACCACACGCTGTGCTTTAAAAATAACTTTACCATTAATTCACTTTTTAATACTTTAGTTGTTCCTTTCTTAGGACTGTAATTTATGATCCAAATTCTGTAAATAATTATCTTCCCTAGTATACTCTGAAATAAAAAATACAAATGAGAATCAGATGATGAAGATGCAAAAAAAAAAGAAAAGAAAAAGAAAACCACCAATTGACTTGAATTTATTAAAATACCTTTTTTTTTTTTACCACTATTAGTAACAGGAAAGCCAAGATGTCACCTGTCATTATTCTGTTTACACATCTAATTTTGGCATCAAAAACAAAATGTGTGTGGAAGCTGTGTGAGAGCCTAACAAGGCCATCTTTTAAAAGAAATTTTGCTACACTAAAAAAATATTAAGGAGCTAATACTTTATTTTTAGAAACTGGGAGACCACTGAAATACTTATTGTTAAAGAAACATGAACTAGTTTTGTCAATTTTTTAATGCATTTTCTCTAACTAGATTAAAGCCACATGTTGGTGTTTATTCCATTGTCCAGTGCATTTCTCCAAAGTCTATAATTTATATGCACCACAGACATAGAAGTCCACACCTTTGGTGACTATTTGCTTAATGAGACAAACTCACCTCTCTGTGCAGCTGGTATACCTGAGTTAGAACTTGCACTCTCCAGGTGTTCTAATGAGACAATATGAACAACATTAGCTTGGATGCTATGTATAAGCCAGTATCTCTTTTTTGCTGTTTGTGAATACCGTCTATGAGTCAGAAGAATAGGAGGAAATGCTTCATTATAAAAGCAAATCAAATAGATGTATTAGGTTTAAGATGCAGTTTCTATTGATATATGAAAACTATTCAGTTAATAAATACCATGGCAAGGAAAACTTGCTTACCATAACACAAAAAGAGGTTTTAAAGCGTTATATTCATGAAAGCACATAAACACAGTAACAAATGTTAGTAGGATGATGAAAACAGGAAGAGAAAACTGGGTGGAGAGAGTCATTGTGTTGGGCAGACAATCTGAAGTATACATGAAGGGAATGCCTAGCCAGTGGAGGGGAGCAATAAGATTAAAAATGACAATCATCATCTGATGTCTCAAACACAAGCTGCTTCTCAGTCCAGGCCATCCCTTCCCACTGATCCCCACTACCATTCAAGGACTTCACTATCTCAACTGCTCCCTCTAGTGGTTACAAGGTTTTTTCTAGGAGGGGTTGGGAGGGGGGGCCAGGGAGGAAGACTGCTTTCCAAGCTAATTAACTAGACACTAGAATCATATTCCTCCTAGTTGTGTGGTGATACTCACTCACATCAGAGTCCACGCTGACTAATAGCTACCCCTATAGCACAGTCCCTGTGAATTTCCAAGACAATAACTCTTTACGAGAATTGAAAGTCCTGTCTTTCTCCCAAATATCATGAAAAGGGCATCTAAAATCTTTTAAATGCTTATTATAAATACTTAATGTATTGAACAAATTTAAAGAACACCATTAAAAAAACACATCTGATCTATTTTTAAAGTTCAAACCCACCCACTGGCCAGAGGAAAACCTGGCAAGGTGCTACTGTACAGATCACAGCCAAGCACACTCAACTCCTCTGAGCCAATCAACTCTGTCACATGGGGTCCCCGTGAATTGAAAACCAACCCAATGGCACCTAGTACCAACCAGTGAGGTCTACAAAATACTTGTGAGGGATGCCCCGAGACTGTGAACCCACAGACGAGGCAGAGCCCGAGTCAGGCTCCTGAGGGGCTCTGGTAGCCCAGGAAGACATGGAGCCTATGGGAAGTCAAGGGTAGACCTGACCCTCAGAGTTTTCCAGGTCAGCCCAGAAAAGCACTCAAGCCAGAGGCTGGGGTAGCATGACCTTCCCCAGGTTTGAACACACTGGAGCTACGAAGGGCTCTCATGTGTCTTGTGCAATACAGAATTACTGGGTGATTAACTACAGAAAACACAGAAGATCTGTAACACTAATTTGGAACTATCTAGGCAGGAAGGGTGGCTAAAAAGTGTTTCTGAATAATCATTAAGGTGAAATTCTCTTTTGTACTTCAATATTAGCCAAGTTATATGGAATTCCCCAGCGGCAATTTTAGATGATTTTATATTAAAAATAAAAAAAACTTAAATATGTGAAAAGTATTTGTTCCCATCTCTAAGCTGGATCAAATGAAAAAAAAAAAACCCAAGGTATATAACAATTTGTAATGTATTTGTTTATATAATTTTTAAACATAGACCATCTTTACAAAGAAGATAGTAAGCAACAAGAGTGTTTTCTTCTCACTGGGGCACCTTCTTGATATAAATTTGCCTCTGGATATAAAGTTCTTTCTTATATATTAAAAAAAAAAAAGTTCTTGCTTCTTCAGAATGAAAGGAGAGGGTGAGGGAGGCTGATTTGGGGCTACGGAACTTCCAAGGCGTTTGCATTTTGTCATGTGCGTTCATTTGAGCTGCTAGCTGCCATCGAGTCAGTTCTGAGCCCTGGTCAGTCCTGGCGTCCCCGAGTCCATCTGCTCCACGAGGCTTTCTGCGCAGTGGTCTTCCCCAAAGCAGAGCATGTAGCCTTTCCTTGGCAAAGAAGCGGAGTGAGTCAGAACTGCCAATCTTAGGTGAGCGGTCATGAGCTGTTTGCACCACCTAGGAACCTTTGGGCATGGAGTATTATTCCCCAAAATTTGTGCCAAGTGTGGGAGAGAGCTCAGAGCAAGGAAAGAAAAATTAATTCCCTGCCCTGAAATCTGAATTCCTATAAATCAAAACCTGGATGCATAAAGCTTTTAAGTTAGAGACATTCTTAGAGGAAAGATTAAGGGAGAAAAAATTTAAAGTACTATAAAGAGCTTTCACTTAAGAGGAACAAATACGTCTTCTAACATGCTGGCTATGATACGATATTAATTTGTCTCTTAGAAGAAGGGTGCACCCTGCCCTGCACTGATCTGGATGAACACTGGCATCAGAGAATGGTTTGAACAGCTCCAATTTCTAATGGCTGCAGCGTTCTGAAATCAGGTTGGTTTCCTGTGGAGTACCCTTTTACAAAAGATAAGGCAACTGCACAACATACGCAGTCTGGCTCACTGACAAATTGGTCACTCTGGCTCAAAAGACTCTGCAATTTCTATGCTAATTTAAAAAAAAGATGTTATAGCTCAAGGGTAGAAATTTCATTAAAAAACATTAAAATAGGCTTTGTCAAGGACTGCGTGCTCAGTTGTGTTATTGTGTATCTCTGTCGACAAGTTTGAGACACATGCTTTATATGTTAGGGCTCCAATCTAGTTTCAGTGTCTCAGTCAAATCACATAGCAGCCCGTTTCTGTTATGATTTCCTTGTGTCTCAGGTACAAAAAGATTATTTTGCTTTTTGGAAAAAGCCACCATTTAGTGTGAACTTTGTTATCCCCCCAAAAAATTACCCTAGAAAGTTGGTGAGGCCAATAAAGCATTAAAAAAAAACAAGAAAATTTTCACTGCCATTGAGTTGATGTCGACTCATAGCGACCCTATAGAACAAGGTAGAACTGCCCATGAGTTTCCGAGACTGTAACTGTTTATGGGAGAGCCTATCTCACCTTTCTCCCAAGGAGTGTCTAGTGGTTTTGAACAGCAGAACTTGCCGACTGGAGCCCAACATGCCACGAGGACTCCTAAACCATATAAAGCATATGGTTTCACTTTTCTCTTGTGAATTCAAGCAATTTTCAGCAAACCCTATTCCTAGAGGGGTGGGGATGGGGGCCTGGACCAGGTTACAGAAGCAGGTTAGTAGAGAGATGAGCATATTGTTGACACAACGGACAGAATGTTGCAAAGATCCTTTCTCACTCATTTACATATAATCTTCTCCTTCTGACATTTGAAACTTTGGCATTTTCCTAAATAATTCGTCAAAACCCATGACACAAAGGTATTGATTAACTGTGACAAGGTTCTACATTGGTCACTAACTTTTCTACTTATTCATTTTATATCATTAGAATTTTCAGATCATTTCCACAAATAATTTAAAAATATTTAACACAATCTTAACTAGACAGCTTAAGAAAATTACTAAAACCCTTAAACAATAACAGACTCTGGAGATTCCTAGATTAAAACACATGCAACCTGAACTCTATTCTTTTCCTACGTAAATAATCACAGTTTTAAGTTACGGTCAAAATGTAGTTTTACTGGGGTATTTCCATCAATCTAGCAATCCACTGATTAGCTATGTCCTATAACTACAAAAGCTGGCTTAATAGCCTTAGACAATATGATGCATATAAACATACACTATAAATCTTATCCTCAGCGATATTCAAATACTGGAGGAATGTTAATGAAATAGCCATATTACAGTGATAAATCATTAAGGCATAAAATAAAATTAATCTCCATTTGGATGGTTCACAATGGAAAAATTCAACTGCAACACACAAGTGAATTGAAAATGACTAATGAGATATTAGTTGAAGATAACCTAAATAGAGGCGCTAATTCTCCTCGTTATCTAATATACATGAGGGAACTTCCAATATTTGTGAAAAGATAGATTTCAAAGATGGAATTTTCCAACAAACTTTGTGAAGCTCCTTCATATGTACGAGCTAGATAACAAAGACAATGAGTGTCTCTATTTTGGTCATTTCTTTCTTCCAACCAAAGGTGCACAACATCCTGCTGTTCTTCAATCCCCTTCTGATGTCTCCCTACCTCCATTTCTAAGCATCCACTCCTCCTCACTCCTATCCCTTATATCTTCTCTACCAACTAATCCCTGCTTTGGGTCAGAGATCCAGTTTGCTTTCTCTCTGCTCTCTGTTCCCTGTCCGTTTGAGTATTCTCCAGCACTGGATTCCACTCAGGCTGCCATGAGGAGGCTTAGGGGCCAAGAATTCCTGGGGACTTCTTCTCCATCAAGTCCACCTTTCCTTCCTCCCTGTCCATTTCTTGCATCAGTTTCTCACACACTGCCCTCACCTTCATTGCTTTTGTCCTGGCTCACCTCTCTCTGCCCTCAGTGGCACCACGGACTGCTCTGGCACACGAGGACAGGGAGAGCTCTCCTCGTTTGTCGTTGTTGCAGCCATTTGGTTGCAGGAACAAAGCATATTTAGAGACAGAAAACAGGCATGCAACGGATTGTTAATCTACAAAGATTTTTTTGGTTAGTATAAGGAATTATAAACGCTTCTAAGAATTCAGACCTATCAACTGGTAGGAAAAGGTAGAAGCTAACATTTGTGCTTTTTTCAGATTTACATTAAAAAAAAAAAAAATTCAACATGACCAAAAGAAAAAGTAAATCTTATAGCCTACAATAAAAACAAAGATTAAAAAAAAATCTTGATGTAGATACCTAACTATGGAGGACAATGTATTAGGGTACAAGTCTGAGTCCATTAATTTCCTTTTACACTCAATGGAGGGCGTGACCTCTGCTTGTCACACTGATTGCGTCTCTTCACATAGGTGCAGTCAGCAACTGCTACTAGCCAACAGCTTACGCAATGGGACGGAAGGTAGTCATCTCGGCATCAAGCACAGAGAGGGAAGAAAACAGTAAAAACCACTCTTCTATGTAGTTGAATTCCATAGTAAGTAAAAACAAAAGGTGACCTAAGTAAACAGCTTAAAAAGTTTTAATTACCTACCAGTATTTTAAATAAAAACTATAATCTCTCTATGGATTAGACTTCAAAAGTACTTGAGTTACACACATCTGCCTAATATAGTTCCTAAGCTCCTACAATCAAGTTATCTACTATTTAGTTTTTTAGGCACTTATCTAAAGCTATATACTAATCTTTGATAAATATACATGCATATGGCATCTTACATCGATGCCAGTAAATGCAAATATCTTGCTAGTTTTTTCCTTGACATTTACCTTTAGGCTTATATAAAAAAATAACTAAAAACAAACAAAAAGCACTAAGAGCACAAAGAATTGCTGAATTATATTAACAAAAATGCTCTATTTTTACTGTATTTGGTCTCCCTCTTATCTTTATTCACACCATTCTTTAAATCTCTTGGAAGGAAAATTGCAGAGAGGGAAAAAGTATAAAAGTGGTGGGGGAAAAAACTTGCTATAGCTATCTGTTTTCCGTCAGTAAACTGTATTTCTTATGAGAATAAACAGTTATGTTGATTCTACATCATCATGTTTCTCATAGTATTCAACAAAGATCGTTGACGGCTTCTACAGAATTTTAATATCTTTTGAAAATGTATTTAGACTCAGCAACTTTACTTGGAAAAGATAATTACCAGGGAACATCAAATCAACCATAAATTTGAGACACACATCAAACCATTTTGTCACCTTGAGAAATAAAATCAACTATAAAAAAAGTTAAAAGGAAAAAAATTGAACATGGGTGGACAATTCAGGCCTAAGCTTACTCTATAGTGAATTAGGATACCTATAACTTAGAGTATCTTTTCTTCACATGACAATTACCCATTTACAGTAACATGATAGGTAAAGGTTTATCAACAAGTGAAAAGATGGAAGTATTAATAAACACACCATACTTAGCCCTGGAAACTATTCCCCCATCACTATAAGAAAATTAATTGTAACCATCAGTCCTATTGTAATAAGAAAATACAAATTAAACTTGAATACTGAAGTGCTTTCTTTCAGTTAAAAAAAGAGAAAATGTTATGTCACCTTAGTGAGCTTTCTTATAAAACAAAACTACAAAGACCATATATTTTTTTCATGATCAGTGGTAGTTGCTTACTATAGGTTAAGCTTCTTCTGGTTGTATATAAAAAACAGACAAGACTTTGGGGCACTTATTTCAACACTTTTTCCTCCAGCCTGTCTCCTCTAAATTACTGTGCTTACATTTTCCCAGATATTTCTGTACTCTATTTAAAGGTTTCCTTCACTTTAAAACACCCAATTGTTACATTCTTCATAAACATTTTAAAAATCTATCTTCCCCTTAAGTCTTCTAAAATAAAATTTTAAAAATGTATTTAGGATAGCCTATATCTTCCCAGAAGGGGTTGAAGATGTAAAGAAAATACATAGACATGCAGCATAAACCACATTTTACCAGACTAATTACAAAAGGTACAGAGAAGTTCTTTAAGGTTCACCGTCAGTGATTTTAAATGTAATACTGAAGGAAAAGTACACAGGTTTCAGGAGAACGATTAGTATAAAAAGTTTTATACATATTAGTATTAGATGTGATGATTTTATTGATGATGATGATGATGAAGATGGCATGAGCTAATTCCATAGTTTTCAAACTGCTTAAAACACTTAACTCATATAAAACCACACCTTGAAGATTGATGTGTAAAGTCACACTGAATCAGAGCTCCTCTGGTCCAAAGAACAGAGAGCCCAGAGACCACCCTTTCACTCTTCCTCCCTGCTTAATTCCCTCGCCAACCTCTGAAACCTTTAAGGCAAATAATTAACTTGTTAGAAACTATGTAGGAGAATTGAATTTAACTTAATAACAGAAACTCAATGTTATCACCGGACAACTATGGCTTTAATTTATTTTTTAACATAATGAACACGTTAATAATTAAAATGAGAGAAGCCCAAGCATTCACACAATGTTAAAAGCTAAAGGGAATCATCACTTCATCACAATTTTGTTTTTACATTACTCACTCCTGATCAGCCACCGAACTGAGAAGTGAACCCAGTTGCGCTGCTGTTTTTTATTCTACCACAAGGTCCCTCGCACTGCTCCCTAAAATGATGGGCAAATATTATAGGAATCATTTGCCTATAATTGCATTCTCCTCTTGGCTATAATTGCATTCTCTTCTCCCACGAAAACTTCCTTTCTTTGTTGTTCAGCTCACAAAATATCATTTTGCACAAAATATATTAATGATCACAATGAATAGAGGTAATAATTACCGTTGAAAACATCCTGAAAGCTATTATAGTATAATGAACACAGATATAACAAGTTTTGAGTTTAACTCTATAATCTTCTGCAGAATTAATAATAGTAAAATGCTGTTGTTGCCATATGAAAATCGAGTTGGCAGGGATTCCAAGTCTAAAGCACTAATTGCTTCAGATTAGGATTTAATCAAAAACTTTCTATTAAGATTTTTTCTTAATTATGCAAGTAATTTAGAACTGCCTGAAGTAAGTTCTGTACAAAATTTTTTTTCAAACCTTATAATCTAAGGAATTCAAGGCAGCTTCTTGAGAAGTCTAGTTTGTTTTAAAAGCTATATTTAATTTATAAATATGACTCAAATCATCTTTAAATTTGATTTTTCTTTCTCTATTCTTCAAATAAAGTGTGAGTGTGCTGAAATTATGGACTTTCAAATTGGAATTTTAGGTGTTAACAGAAAGAAAACAGAACCAAATGTTACTATGTTAGAAGTTCAGATTATGAAAACAGCTTTATCTGTTCATCTTTAAACCATGAAACAAAACCTATTTACCCATAAAGTAGAGGCTTATGCTGACACAGCAAAGAATCTCTTGGCATAAATGCAATGTGAATATACAATGATTGTTTTATACATAATTTTCTATCAGATAAAATCATCAGCAAGGAGAAATGATATAATAATGTCATTTATAAAATGTAAGCATTACAAAGGTTATTTTGGTTTTAAATAACATGCACCATTTATCAGAATAAGAATGTAACTAAAAACACAGATTACATTTTATTGTATATCTAATGCTAGGAAATCAGGTACAATAGTTTGAAAATGTTTATAATAAAAATTGCACTTAAAAGGTAAATGGGAAAAAAAAGTACCTCCCATTTTCTTCAAAGGTTTCATAAATCAAAGCAATTTACTGCTATTAAATTAAAAGGGGTAATCATTCTGCATTTGGTAAAATGGCACTAACTTAAAAGTTTATAGCAATGTTCCTCAGTAACAGCCAAGGCACACAAAAGCTAGGAAGCTCATTTCTTGTTTCTTTCTCACTTGCATGCTCCTCTCCCCTAAAATCAGTATGTGCATTAACGCACAAGAAGGCTTCACGGGTTTATGGCAAAAGGGAATTAAAAGAGAGAGGAAATTTTCCACAAATTTTTTGAAGCCCCTAGGTGTGTGCGTGTGGGTGTGCGCGTACACATAAATCATCTGAAAAGAGAAACACAAGGTTTTTTTGTCTATGAAAATCCAAACATTTTTGGAAAGGTTCAATTATTGCTAGAAAATAATATATATAATATAAATGCAAATAAGTTGTGAATAGTTACTTTTGGAATTCCAAATTTTGAAAATAAAGCTATAATATGTTTGAGATATGAGAACAGAATAATATCTGGAAAAATTACCTTAATAGCTTATGATGAATTTACTTGAGAAATTAAAATAGGAGCATAACTCTCTATCCTTTGTGATCATGAAGAAACATACAGTGAGAAAATGAAGGGCTAAACCTTCACCTCAAGATTAAGTTACATTGCCTACAATGAGGACACAAGTGAGAGGAACTAGAAACTGTGGTTTGTGTTTGCATGTCCTTTACTTGACCAACCTTTCACTGGTGGGAAAGGATGAGGAGGAAGTGAATCTGAACAGAGTTCCAAGGGAAACTGCAGGAGTTCTTCATTGTCTGTAGAAGCTTAAAAAGCAAGAAAAATACCAAGTATTTTGTAAAGCTCTATTAATTAAAGACAAATATAAAAAGCTACAATAGATATGTAAATACATAAATACACATACACACACACACACACACACACACACACACACCTTCCCACCACCCAAAATCCATTGTGAGTGATTCTGATTCACAATGATGCTGGAGGACAGAGTACAATTGCCACATGGACTTCCCAAGGTTATAAATCTTTATGGAAGGACACTGCCCCCATCTGTATATGTCTACCATGGAGTGGCTGGTGGGTCTGAACCATTGACCTTTCAGTTAAAGCTGAATGCTTTAATCACTATGCCAATAGTGCTCCTTAGATACCCCTCTACCATTTTTTTCTTGATTTATTCTAGTTATTTGCTCCTTGGTTTCTCCCATGGGCACCCTTCAGCTAAGTGTGGTGCTACTGTCCCTGATGGAACTGTTATAAGATTTTTAAAGTATTATACCTGTAGTCACTTATCATAGTGCCTTACAAATAATAAGCACTCAGTAATAATTATTACACAGTGCCTGGGTGATACAATTATTGCTCTTCGATATTAAGCGTAAGGTCAGTTTGAAGTTGCCACGCCCCAGCCCCTTGCAGGTGCCTTGAAGTAGGACCTAGTGATCTACTTCCCAAACACCAGACACTGAAAACCCTCGAAGCACAGTTCTACTCTGGCACGTGCAGTCATCCAGAGCGGGAATTAACTAGTGGGCAACTAGAGGTTTTTAAATGAGTTTAATCTTATACATTGCAGCTTATTAGTTCTGAGACTTAAATCAGTTATTATCTATCTTCTTTCATAAATACCTAAGCATATTTATACAACTTAACAGTAACTCAATCATCAAGTCTATCAATATCATATAGACAGTAAACAACTTAAAAAAATATTAGACAAAAATCTACTAATTGAGAATACATCATTTATTTAGCAAGTAAGTCATCTTCCTTTTTCCCCAGAATACATAATCCGTTTCGAATACATAATCCATTTCTAATAATTGAAAATTTTTGGAAGGTATTAACCCTTAATCCTAAATCTTACGGATTTAAGGGCAACTCTGAGAAGCTGTTGAATGCAATGGAATCTTTCCTGAGAAAATGCATAGATGAAATTGATTGTGGTGATGATTGTATGACTCTGAATATGATTAAACTAGTAAATTGTATGGCATGCCAATAAAGCTATTTTTAAAAGGAAAAAATGCATAGATATATAATTTGGTTACTGCTATCAGTGACTTCTCAGATGCCATGAGGACTTCCTCACAGAATCGAAAAGTCCTGAATTACTGCAGAATGACACCTACTCCTCATTTACCTACTATCTCATTAGTTGCCATGTTGTATTTAAAAGCAGTGAAAAAATCCACTGCCCAACTATTTTGTGCATTAACAGCATATGTCTGCCGGTAGCAAAGGTTGAGGTGCAAGGCAATAGTAATTGGCTACGATGGTTAAGATTCTGGGTCATCTTGGTTGGGTCATGATCCTCAGTGGTTTGGCAGTTAAGTAATGATACAATCTGGTAGTCATTTAATGATACAATTACTCTTCATTTTGTGATCTGATGTAGGCATTCTCCATTTCTGTGAAACATCTATTTTTGAATAATAGCCTGGTCTTTGGAGCTTAACTATGTTGATGAGTGAGGAACAGGTGTACAACACTAAGAGCAAGGTTAAGCAAGCAGGAGCAGTCACTACATAAATACCAGTCAAAGCACCTACTTGTATGTGAAAAATGAAGTGAGTCATATGGTGCTCCGTGTAATTATCTTTGTAAAGGTAAAAAGAAGAGGGAAAAAAACCTCTTCAAGAAAGTAGTCATTTATTCAATCTACCAGTCCTTTACATTTTACCAATGGGCTATAACACAGGAAAACATGGACTGCACTTCTCATCTAGCAAATGTTTACCTCTTTGCAAAGACTTTTCAACGTGGGTTTTTGTGGTCTGTAAAGCTTGATTTTTATCAAAAGTTATTGCCACTGCTGTGACTGTAACCTAGAATCACAGAAATAATATGATCAGCAAAAGAAAAATCACTGCCAAAATAAGTTTTATACAAATCTTTTTCAATACCTTGCAAGAACCTATATAATTTTCTCAGCTGCCTTTCCTGTTTCAGATCTTCATGAATAATTACATATTAGCTCAGATACTCAGATTACAACTAAACCCAATGATTACAATGTCTAAACCTAGATGCTCCAGAAAGCACACAAGAACGTCTTCTCGCAAACCTCACCAAAGAAGTCGACACACTACTTCTCCTATAGTTGAGAGCATGGGGCAATTCTACCTGCACAGGACTAGGGGTCAGATAGAAAATCACAGCCAGAGTCTGCCACCATATTTGAAATGTTTTGAAGTAAAACAGTTTGTACTTAAATGGTTTAATTACGTGAAATTATAATATTAAACAGATCAGATAAAAGTTACCTTCCTCTTCACTAAAAGACTAAATATTAATTACCTGAATTAATTCATCTTCAGGGAGAGAAACTGTAAAATTTACATGGCAAAGGCAGCAGGGGATCATAGATCGTAGTTTAAAATAGAGGCTCTGTATAATACAAAATATTAATAAAGTCACTTCAGTTCAGGTTTTAAAAATTTATAAAATCTGATTGCTTTTAAATTTTACTTTGGACAAAGAGTATTAAAATAAAGCTGACTATATGTTTTGTCTAACCAAACATTAAAAGTGCACATTTAATATTAAAGGAGACAATAAAAATTTATAATATTTAGTAGTGTGTAGTGAAAAAATAATGTAAGGTTTTAAAATTTGACATACAGAATTTTACACATTTAAAGATATCAATTAACTTAGATTATATTTTATAGTATGATAATATTAATAGGAAGAAGAGCATTTTGCTTGATGAAATAATGTGTAAACAAAAATAAACATGGCCCACAACTGTTAGGTATCCCAGAAAATAGATACGATGTTTTTATTTTTAATTTCATGTTTCTTCATCTTACTAAATTCAGTCAGTACAAAGACTCCTTACCTTGAGCAAATTTTCACAGAGATCATTAAAGTTCTTGTTAAGAGCTTGATTCGTCAGGTTAAGACTGCTTAATCTGATTACTCTTACTGAAGTGAACATCTAAATATGGATAAAACAATATGTATTTTATTATATTTAGCAAAATAACAAATTCTATTGTTTTTAAGAAAATAGCAGTTGCTATAACTACCAATGATTCATAATAAAAAGTAACATTGTATGAAAAAAGACGGTGTGTAATACAATGAAGCCACAATTTAATTTTACTTCAATCTACAATAAACACCCATAAAAATGGCCATCAAGAAATCAAATGGCCTATTTCATTGGGTCTGCTTCAAATGATCACTTTAAAGATGTCACTGTGAAGACTAAGATGTGCCTGTCCCAAGCAATGCTATTTTCAATTGCCTCACGTGGACATGAAAGCTGGACACTGAATACAGAAGATCGAAGAAGAGATGCATTTGAATTATAGTAGTGGTGAAAACTATTGAATATACCATAGATTATCAGAAGAACAAACAAATCTGTCTGAGAATAAGTACAGTTTGAATATTCCTCCACCAAGTTGTCATACTATAGTGGCTTGAAACTACAAATACCAGCAGGGTAACCTACAATGAACAGATTTCCGCAGAGCTTCAAGGTTAAGCACAGGCAACAAAGGAGAAATTAGCCACTGAAAAGCTTGTGAAACGCATCAAAACACTGTCAGAGATAGTGCCAGAACCCCTCAGACAGAAGGCACTCAAAATGCGACGGAGGAAAAGCTGACTTCACAAAGTGCAGTCGACCAGAATGACGTGGATGGGGTAAAGCCTGCAAGAAAATAAAGTCTTTGGGACCTCCCTGTGCTGATAGGGCATGGCTCAAAATGAAAAACTGGTGCAAACATCAAAAAATAATCAGAACTTGGGATGCACGAAGTATGAATCTAGCAAAATTGGAAGTTCTAAGAAATACAATGGAATGCAGAAAGATTTATATTCTAGGCATTAGTGAACTGGAATAGTCTGGCAGTAGCCATTTTGAATCATAAAATCATGCTGGGAATGACAGATTCAAGAGTAATGGCTTCAAGTTCATTCTCAAAAAGGACATTCCAAGATCTATCTTTAAGTATAGTGCTGTATGTGACTGGTATCCACATTGAAGGAAATCCAATCAATACAACTATTATTCAAATTTATGCACCAAACACGACAGCTAGTGATGCAGAAACTGAAGAATTCTACCAGTGCCTTCAGTCTAAAACTGACCAAACATGTAGTCAAAATGCATTGATAATTTTAGGCGACTGGAATGCAAAAGTCGGAAACAAAGAGAGAGGAAGAGGAGTTGAAAACACAGTCCTAAAAAAAAAAAAGAAAAGAAAACAGTCCTGGCAACAGAAATAAAGAACGAGATCCCATGATGCAATTTTGCAACACTATGACTTCATCATCACAAATACCTTTTTCAACACTTTTCCAGATGGAATACACAGAAATCAAACTGACTACATCTATGGGAAGATATGATGGAAAAGCTAAATGTCAGCAGCTAAAACCGAGCCAGGGGCTGACTATGGAACAGACAGACCATCAGTTGATCACATACAAGTTCTGGATGACGCTGAAGAGCATGAAAACGAGTCCATGCGAGCCAAAATATGGTCTAGAGTATGTCCCAGCTGAATTCTGAGGACATCACAAGGACAGATTTGACTCACTCAACACTAATGACAGAAGGCCTGAGAAGCTGTGGGAGGACATCAAGAACAATACTCATGATAAAAGCAAAGGTCATTAAAAAGACAGGGAAGAAATGGTCAAATTGGCTGTCAGAAGGGACTCTGAAACTTGTTATTAATTGTAGTAGCTAAGGCAAATGGAAGAAAGGGTGGTTCAAAGAGCTGAACCAAAAGTAAAGTAAAATGTTAAAATGAAATGTGCAGAGACCTAGAGTTAGAAAACCAAAAAGGAAGAGTATGCTCAGCACATCTGAAATGGAAAGAACTCAAGTAAAAATTCAGGCCTCAAGTAGCAATATGGAAAGGTTCTATAAGCAAAATCCTGAATGACGCAGGAAGCATCAAGAGAAGAGAAGAAGAATACAGAGTCACTGTACCAAAAGAACTAATCAACATTCAACTATTTCAAGAGGTAGCATATAAGGCAAGAATCAACAGTAGTGAAGGAAGAAGTCAAAGCTTCACTGAAAGCAAGTCAAAAAAAAGGTTCAGATATTGATGGAATACCAACTGAAATGTTTCCACAAGCAAATGAAACACTGGAAGCATTGACATATCTACGAGGGGGCACCCACTCCCCCCCAAAAGAAAATGTAATAAGCATTTTTCATAATATGCAATTTTCCTGCTAGGCAAGCATCCAGCGACTTGCTCTGATTAGTGCACCCAGTGGTGTCACCTGGGAAGGTTCTCTCTGGTCACAGTGAATTTTTTTCGTAAAAGCAGTTTCACTTGAACCTTGTTTGTTGTGTTGGCCCACTAAAGAAAACAG